AACTGGAGACTTGTACCCTAAACTTCCTCATACAGAGGCACTTTTCTTCATCTTCCTTCTAATGATTATTTTTCCTGCTCATCAATTCTTAATATTCGTAGTCTATTTTCTCTTCATCCCCTTTCCATGGAACCAAGAGAATCCTCCCATAAATGATAGTGAAGCGGCAGAAACTCTCCTCTTCCTTGACTAGATTTTATTTTATTTTTTTAAAAAACATTTATTTGTAAGCAAATGACAACTTGGAGTCAGTTGTCAAGTGGAAGACCAACATTTCTCTCATCCCATTCTTTTGTTTCATTTCTACAGAAAAATTAGACACTATGTGTCACTTAGTAGACCGTGCAATGACAACAATAAGGTAAGCAATAATAATAATAATAATAATAATAATAATGACACAACTTAATGAATGTATTTATTTATGTATTTATTTAATCCAATTTCAAGGCCACCCAACTCCTCAATGACTCTGGCCAGCTTACAGTTAAAAAATTGTAATTCCAGGTTGATTCTTACAACTTGGGCTAATTGTACCCTTTTGCTCTAATTTGTTCATAGACTGAAAGAATCTGCGAACGAGTACAGGCTGAGTCCCAAACAGGTACAATGTCACAAGAGCGCAACAAGAAAATTGGTTGCATTCCAATAATTCCTTTGTTATTCTCTGCTAATGACGTTGTGTTTGTTTCTGTTAAAAAAAAAAAAACGTGCGTTCCAGGCATATTTTGGAAAAGCCAGGGAGATTAACAATGAAAACCTTAATACAAATTTGTAGCACGCCCGATTGTGCAGGGTTCTGTGGTTGCAGGAGTTTTAGCTTGTTGTGTGAACGAAGCCTTTGCATAAATCTGTAAAATAATGTATTTGTTTGGGCATCACATGTTATGCGAACACAGCAATGGTGTGAGGACTGAAGCTCTTGGTCAGGAAGCACTGAAAATAGGATTTGTAGCAAGGAGACTGAAGCACAGATGATATTGCTGAAGAAATGCAGTAATATTGGAGGATATCTTTGTTTGGCTCCTGCTATGACAGGTTACAAGTATTTAGTATTCTTAAAGTAGGACCTAGCCGATCAGGCAAAATCTATTTCATTAATCTGGCCCACTTTGGAGAATAAAATTTGGGTCCAGTAAGGTTTGTTTTCTTTGAATTTTAAGAAAAGATCCAAAAAAGCAAGTCACTGGTCCATTCAGAAGCAGGAGTGGGTTGGATGTCCTGTGATTACATGGTCATTCCAGGAAGTGCTGCTTGAGGAGAAACAGGATGGATTTGTATTTGGGAGAGAAAAACATACAGACTTTGTCCCTGCTAGTGTGCTGGGAGATAAAAAGGAATAACAAAATAGCGGACTTGTTTCACATGTTTAGTTCGAGGCAGAATTGATCTTACCATTGAGATAGAACCAAGTGGCTGTGTTGACCAACAGATTCCAATCACCAAGCAACAGATTCCAGTCACCAAGACAGGGGTTAGCAATTAGGGGCCAACAGACAAACTTCAGGAATGATCAAAGATGAGCTTCCAGCATCGTTCAGAACCCAGATGTTCTTTCTCACAGTAGTGATGATCTAACTTCCTTGCCCCTACAGATATCCAGACCTGCAGACACAAAGACAGAAGAAAAGGTTCTCTTGATGTCCGATCCACTACCTCTCGAGGCAGTGATGGTATATCATTAGCTTTTTTAAAATTATCTTTTTACATTACCTTCTCAATAATCAGCACCCTTGGATCTCCTGCTTCCTTCAAAGCCCAGGATATACACTTGCCTTCATTTTGGAAAAAAAAAAAAGTGTGGTAACAAAGATGTAAACTTTGGATGTCTAGCTAGGCTAATGCATAGTATCCTGTTCCTCCAGCAGCTGTTTTTATAATACAGGCAGACTCAGCTGGTTAAATTTGGATTATGTCTGCTGGCCTTTACGTTGCAGTAAAGTACTTTAGTGAGGGGTAAAATGTCTAATATCCAGTAACAACCGCAATAGTTTGGAGAAGCTAATGCCATCAACTAATATGCATCTCCATGTTTTCCTTGCATAGGAAGTTCTCAGAGGAGGCACTCATCAATGGCCAGGATACATTCTATGACTATCGAGGCACCTATTACCAAGGTAAGGCACTCCCATTTGAGGTAGCTTCAGTCTCTTGGAAACTTTGCTCCCATGCCTTCGCATTGTTTCTTGACTTTTAAAGTAAACCTGGTTAAATAAGTTAACTCCTTTTTTCTGGATTTGCACAATACATGGAACCATAAATTAGGCTAAGATACCCCCCCCCCAAAATTCCTACTCAAGCTTAACACTAACCAGCTTTAGCCTATTCTGCAGATTCACCCACTTGGTCTTTATGTAGTCATCCCAGCTAGTAAATTGCAACTTAATCTCCTATCGACTGAAGAAATTCTCTGGAACGTTGGGATGTTTTCTCTTGAAGTTCTCCTCAAAAGGAAGATGGCATGGCCTTCCCTTTTTTCACGGGAAGGGCTAAAGCAGATGGGGAACTTCTGGTCTCTCAGGTTGGCCTGCAGGGCTTTGAGCAGGATCACCCTCCCATCATTTCTATACTTTGCCTGCACCTTGTCTTGGCTCATCAAGATGCAGTGGAGGAATGAGTTGGGGGAAAATGCAATGCAAGTGAAGCAGATTTGATCCTGAAGCAGAGCAGCTACTCTTCACAATTCCCAGCACAGGAGAGCCTCATAAGCTCTGAAGCTCCAGAGTTAGCTCAGCATTTTGTCTACAGAACATCCAAAGATCTTGTGATAAAACTGGGGGGAAAAAATCTCGATTGAAGGTCTGGGGAGTTGATACCTGAAGCTTTACTCAGACACAAACATTATTAGTAGTAATAGTGGTGATAGTTGCACTACTACTAGTAGTAATGATAAGTCAGTATTCCAAATACCAGTTTGACTGAATCCAACAAGCCAATTAATACTCTGTTTAATGATATGGCTAAACGGAGTACCGTAGTATCCTCATTGAAGCATCATTTCCTGAGGTTTTCTTGAATACTAAAAAGACTGGAAGGCACCATATTTATTCCAAAGGAAGGTAATCTTGAACTTAAGAAGATATTTTCCCCTAAAAGGGCAAAGCTCATTGTCTTCCGTTACCCTATTCTTAGCAAATCCAGATGACCCACCCTTTTGAAAGGTAAATGATTTGGGGGGAAATCTATTCCCTTTAGGAAAATACAGTATTGATTTCTTTCTTTCCATTTAGGTAATAAATATTATCAATGCTGCCCAAGAAAGCAGTCCCATGCCAGTGGCTGAAGCATTAGATAGAGTTCTGGAGATTCTGAGGACGACTGAGTTGTATTCTCCACAGCTTGGCACAAAAGATGAAGACCCGCATACAAGTGACCTCGTTGGTGGCTTGATGACGGTAATTAAAATCAAAGTATTTGAGTTGGTTGGAACTGCTGATGGCATCAAAACCTGCTTGCTGCAGCAGCCTTGCAGTGATAGCAAATCCTGACCCATTGCTTCTGTACAAGCTGCAATGCTAGACAGGGTGTGAGTGCGCAGTCTGGAAATATATTGACAAGGGTTTCTTACAGCTTCCATTGATCAGCCAAACCAGTTTTAGATGGAAAATCATCTGGATAATTTGGCGTGCTAAAAATTGTTTGGAAACATCTTGCTGATAACCCAGCCTATTTTAAACTGGCAAGTTGCTTGCCTCTTCAGCAGAAAGACCTGCTTTTTTCAAAGCAGAAAGACCTGCTTTTTTCAAAGAAAGCTTGTACAAGATTCTTAGTCTGAAAATGCATCTAGTTCAGTTTGTTTTTAAATGCATGGATGGTGTCTTGGCCAAGACACCTGAGACTCTTCACCTAAAATGCAATGAGACAGCCACCCATAAGCAATAGAAACAAAGGAAGATCCTACTAGTTTTTAATCTGGAGCAGTTACGTTAGAAAGGAAACCTCTGCTCTGAAGCACTACTGTTTCTGCCTGTCTTCTTTTAAACAGGTAAAATTGGTCATGCAAGTTTTTCTAGCCAAGGAACTCAATAAATGGAGTTCTGCTACCTAGAAAGCTCCAGATCGATGTTCCTCATGGATAAAGACAGTGGGAGTTGAAGTTCTATACCTCTGGTGGGTACCAGGTGGTGAACGTTGGCCTAGATATTATGGCCACCTACTTTAGTGGGACTTCCACATGCCATTTTTAATTCATTTGCCAATTAAGTGATAATTAGCATACTTCTTTTAGCACCTGTGATGACAGAATTTGTTTAGCTTTCACCAATTCAGAGTGAAACCAACTCTTGCTTCTGGACTAGATAGAGGGTTCATACATTTTCTGAATTATATTCCCTTTATTGTATTAAACATCCAGAAGGGTAAATTTAAAGAAGGGTCTTTATTTCTTCCTGTGTTCTTTTCAACTTTATTCAATAGGATGGACTACGAAGATTATCAGGGAATGAATACATATTATCAGCAAAGCGTAAGTACTGTTTTGCCGTACTAGATATGTGTGATCTTCAGCCATTTCATTTTGGGTAAAGCACAACCAAAGTTATTTTGAAGAGGGGAAAACAAACAACCAATGTGCAATTTGGTGTAATTATTGCAGACATTATTACCCAAACAGCAAGCTAAATGCACCATTTTAGTGAGGCATATAGTTTTGAAAGGGTATCTTGTTTGCTAAGAGGCTTAAGGTTTTGTAAATATTTTACACAGGTTCGAAGAAAACAGGCCAGCTTGCAGGTGTATGACCTAATAGACCTAACATAAAGAGAAGGAAAAAGGGGGGGAAAAAGAATATGGAGACTAGTTCTTGAAGCGCAAGCAAAACCATTTGATCTGGACAAGTGGTCTCCAGGTTTTCAATGCTCATACATCTCTGTCATCTCAAAAAACTTCCAGCTAGATGGAGTGGTCTTTCTGATTGGAAGAGGAGAGTCATACCTGGTTGCCCTCCTAGGCTTTATGTAGGACAAGAGATGCAATCTGTTCTTGGTCCTGTGCCCCATCAGAGGTCAGGGCATGCCTGTAATACTTTTGTCCCTGTGTCTTCACCTTCTAGAAACCCATCAAGTACCAGGCAGTTTGATCTCACCCATCTCCCTGAACGACATCCCACCCAGGATAGCTCAAGCAATGGAAAATGAAGAAGACTGGGACTTCAATATTTTTGAGTTAGAGGCTGCAACTCATAAAAGGTTTGTAGGAGAAGCAAAGAAAGACACAGCAGCAGTCTGGGAGACATTGGTCTCCTGTACAAGTGCTATTATTTGTCTTGCTGTTTCTTTGGCTTCCGGTGCACTGAGAGTAGGGGGAATGAATTGCCTTTTTTTTTTTCCTCCAGGCCTTTAGTTTATCTTGGCCTCAAACTGTTTGCCCGCTTTCGGATCTGTGAGTTTCTCGGTTGCTCTGAGTCGACCCTGAGGTCTTGGTTGCAAGTCATAGAAGCCAATTATCACTTATCCAACTCTTACCACAACTCAACCCACTCGGCGGACGTGCTCCACGCCACAGCCTATTTCCTTTCTAAAGAACGAGTAAAAGTAAGTCCAGTGGCATAGGAAAAAAAACTTGGAAACAGCCTTAGCTCCTGTGGCCTAGGGTTGCCTAGCCTAGGCAGGAACAAGCAAATCCAAGGTCTCTTACACAGTTCTTTCCCATCCAACCAGTTACTTCTATCTGCCAATATCAGGGATTTAAACTGCAGGCAGAGTGAGGGTTCTCTGCTAGAAAGCTCCAGATCTTCTTGGAGCTGTAATATCACCTCTTTCTAAGCCTGGAGAACCCCAAAGAAAGTATAAAGAGAGAACTTGGGCCACCACTATTCCAGGAGATCATTAATCAGCTCTGTGTATATTGAAGCAAGGTGTGACGTTTGTGTAAACTGCATGCTCCAAGGAAACTGTTAGGGTGGCCTAAGAAATAAAATGTATATTTTTTAATGGAAGTTTCCTGTGAGTTCCTTCCCTGCATCAGGATTGAACCATCCACAAGTATGACTTATGGGAAACATCAGTGGATAGAATGCCAAAGTTCAGTGTTCCATGCCTTCTTCCTGGATGCTCTATCCCATTCTCTGCTCCTTTCCCCACCTCCAGTTTTCCATTTCTCACCTCCACCAACAGATAGCATTTTGTGGCTGCTGCTGCTGATTTCTCATTGAGCTATTTTAGCATTTTTCCTCCCTATTACTAAGCTGTTCCCCCCCCCCCATTAAGTTTGTTTACACTTCTGGATACTTTGGCATTCATGCAACTTCTCCATGAACCTCGTGGCTTCATAAAGGTCCAGTTCACTGTTAGAGCACCCGACTTTCCAATATCAGGCTGAGTTTCTCTTCCCTGGCCTCTCCCAGCATCTCTCTCTTATTCTTCTCAGCAAACATTGGATCCCATTGATGAAGTTGCTGCACTGATAGCTGCTACCGTCCATGACGTAGATCATCCCGGGCGAACCAATTCTTTCCTGTGCAATGCAGGAAGTGAACTGGCCATTTTGTACAATGACACAGCGGTGTTGGAGAGCCATCATGCAGCCCTGGCCTTCCAGATCACCACCCGAGATGATAAATGCAACATTTTTAAAAATATGGAGAGGTAAGTTTCTAAAATACCAGTATCTTTTAAAACTACAGTCATGACCTAGCTTTAAGAAGAATTTGTTTTGACTGCATGGTGATATAACATTCAGGCGTAGCAATGGAGGGAGATAGGTTTATACTATTTTGAGGGGAAAGATATAATGGATGTGGCTCATTTTATGCATATAGTTAGAATAATGCAAGTGATGAAACTTTTTTTTTTTAATTTCAATGTAAAAAAAATTAACTGTAGAGGGACATCAGGAAAATGGTC